ATACCGTACCCAGGGGTGGGCTGCCGCCTGCGCAGGGCTCCCAAGCCCCTTTCCCGCTGATCCCACAGTGAGGACACAGTGGCCAAACCCCAGGCTCTGAGGTTCTCCTGTGCGCTCTGTCTCAGCTCTGCTGCTCTACGACTGTTTCCCACTGCCCCTTTCCTTCCCTCGCAAGACCAGTTCACTCCTGGCCCCCCGGGTGTGGTGGTGTTTGAAGCAGCAGCGCTCAGGGTGACCTCTTCTGCCAGGAAGGGTTGCACTCGTTGCCTCCGGTCCCATAGTTCAATAACCCCATTGTCATCTCTTCTTTACCAGCTCTTCATCTTTTCCAGTCTGATCACTTTTTATATGGGGTAATATCAATTCTGTATAAAAATTTAATCTAGACCAGAAATTTCACTAAACACGTTCAAAAATTTCAAATTCTTATTTATAACATTTGCTTGCCTGGCTTATGAGGGATAGAGCTCTGACTGGTTTGGCATGAGGTATTTTGGTAAACGTAGAGTGCGTTTTGTTTGTTTGCGTTTCCTCAGGTCTGATTATTTTATTCTCTTTCGTGTTTGTTCCAAAGCGTTGCGTGCTTTTGAGGCTAGGTTTGTCATTGCCTAGATAATTTTCTTCTGACGTTGTAAAAGCCGCAGGGTTACTAGAGAGAGTGAGCGTGAGTTTAGTTGGCAGAATCAGCTACAGATCTACCAGGAGAACCCCTGGCCAAGGTGTCACCCCCTGAGTACCTGAGCGCTTACCATACCCTGAGTGCGGGTGGTCTGAGCCTACTGGGCTGTGCAACTCCTACAGCTGATGGTTTTGTCTACCCATTCAGCACGGTCCTGAACTCACTTTTAGGATGTATGTTGGTATTAGAACGTCATTTCATTATTGTGCCATTATGTTCTTAGGAGTCTGCTGGAGGCATTTGCCATTTTCATTCAGGTGCAGGCTGCTGTAGCAGTGACTCCAGCTGTTTTCTCATCCTACTGTTAAAAAAAAAAAAAAAAGCTTACCTGATTTCCTTATTGTTCCCTTCGAACAGAAAATAGAAGTTTCTTGAATTAAAACCATTATCAATGGCTGTCTTTGAGCATTCTATAAAGAAAAATCTCAGCTTTCCCTGCCTTGCCTTTTGGTATTTAAAATCAGTCTACCCCATGCACGGTACAACTCCACCGGAGAAAGTTGTTTTAGTGATTTTTATGCACATTTTAGGAAAAGTATCCTGCAGCTTTTGCCCTTTTCAAATGTAAATGTTTAATCAGTGCTTGCTGAGAGAGAGTGCAAGAACACATGCACTAGGCTTACCGTTCTTTTTTTTTTTTTTTTCCTTTCAGTGATCTCCTGTCTTCTGAATATCTTGAGAGGCATATCGAGCAAGGTGGAAAGACAGTGGAAGTTAAAGTAAGAATTTCCTTTTTCTGCTCTGCCTTACATTTTTATTTGTTTTGCTCTTGATGATAATGCAAACTCCCTTGTTTTCCTAAAAGGAGAGAAATCTGACGTTCAGGTGATTTGCTTTACTCTTCTGAGGCAAGCATGTTTCCTGCTTTCTAACTTTTCAGCTTTATAAATACCACAACCCAGACATCATTGACAAATTCAGTACGTTAATTTTTATATCAAAATGGTATCCGTGAAAAATATATACATGATAGTTGTTTTTACTAATAAATAAAATTTACTTTCGATACCTGTCAAAGAAAATCTTTCTTGCTAGATAGCTTTTCCCCGTCTTACTACAATCCAAGTCGGTTGTTTTTAATGACCTTCTTCATAAGTGAGAATAGCAAGATTTACTGTATGATATTTCCATATATCTAGCTACCATTTGAAATTGAGGGTTTGTTTCTCTGAAGACCGGTTGATGTGATGGCTACAATATGTTTGCTACAGTTGTCTTCTAAGAAATGTCCTACTGCTTTTACAGGAGTGCTTTTGGTATTTGTACACAGCATGGGAGAATTTCCTTGAGTACCTTGTATTTGTTATGATAATATTGTGTGGAAGTCAGATTTAAAATTAATGTAGGTTATACAAAGCGTACATGAATATAATATATGCTGTGCATATATTGAAGCTCCTTAAAGGAGACAGTCAGGTCAAATTTTGTTCAAAATTTACATTTTATTTTTCAAAAAGTATTTTACTAAATCTGAGATTGCCTAAGTATCCTGGAACAAATAAGTTAACCTCTATAGCAATGTGAAAGCAAAAGTGGAAATGGACAGTGCACTCATATAGCCACTGAATATCTGAAGATGAGTTTCCTTTGGTTTATCCCTTTCTAGAGTTTGCAAGCTTGAAATCTGCTTGCTTTTTGCTCTCTGATAACAATCTGAATATATTATCAAGTTGAGACACACCCATGTTCCATGAAATTGTAAAGCACAATTTCCCAATCAGCTATGCTCCGCAGTCAAGAAATCTTGACTCAAATTCAGAACACGAGTCAAAGCAGAAATAAAGATAATAGCTGATATTAATAAGAACAAAACAATCCCTTTGTCTGCATCAAGGAGTATATGCAAGTGAACCAAGTTAAGCGTTCTGAGTCTCATTACGGAGTTAGGACAAATCTGGTTCTGATGAATAAGACTTATTCTAGCAGGTAAATATTTGAAATCAATGGCTCTTCTCATATAAGTAATGTCTAATTGCCTGGGGAAGAGAGGGCCAAATCGGGTCTTTAAAAGAAGGGATCAGAAAATGTTTTCTGCACAGAGCAGCTCCCCGTCTTCAGGGTGAGGGAGATTATTTCCCCTTCAGTTAGCAGCCGGGCAGAATCGTAGGGTGACTTCCACGGTTGCTTTTGCTGGCTAGCTTAGCGCTATGAGAGCTGCTTTAAATAAAGAATTGGCATTCATCATTGATCTGGGCTCGCGAGATGGACTGAACTGTGAAAAAAGGGTCACTCTCACTCTGTTGCTTCTCCCTGTTTGGCAAAGAACTGTCGTTTTCTGTCCCTTTGGTGGCGTTTTTGCCTGTCCCCGCTCTTCACTGTTCCTCCAGGCAGTGCCTGCAGAGGAGAGCGAGGAACACGTCTGGAGGCTCCTCTCACCTCTCGGAGAGCTCGGCACGGAGCAGTCCCAACTGAAGTGTGCTAGCAAGGGGTTTAATCTATTTTTTTCCTTGTTTTGCAGCAACTGAGCATCGGGAATCAGAGGAGATGATTAAATGTCAAAATATTCTGAAGTTCTCATTGGGCAGTTACCACCTATTTTTCAGAAAAGTTCAGATATCAAAAGATCTTCAGAAGAGTTCAGGCTGCAAAGTACCTTTTGATGCCAAGCACCGAGTGAGGCTAATTTCAATACTCAATAGCTACTTAAAAAAAATGCAGCTTCCTCTGACCAGCCAGTATTTTGCAGGGTACCAGTAAGTGCTCTGGAGAGCCCTGCTGGTCCCTGGAGCAGTGTTTGAAAAGCCCAGCAGTATCGGTTTTGCATTTGAGAAGCTGAACTCTGGTTTTAGTTTGGATGGTTTTGAAAACCTTATTGCAAATATAAAACGTGTTCATGATGGTGATTAAGTACTTTCAATGTCTGTGGTAACTGTTTTACAGTAACCAGACAAACCACCCTTAAATTGGTGCTTGTTACACACTCCAGATAGAGCATGAATAATAATAATAAATCCTAGCAGTTGCGCAAATCGGTTAGATACTTATTTAAAAATAGTTAGTGAAAGGGTGAAATTTATAAGTAAATCACAAGAAAGGCACTTTGGTATGCAGCCTATTCTTAAACAGAAGCAGGATGAGAGGTATTTCAGAAAGGAGTCAGTCCTGTATCACTTGCTTCAGCCGGCTGCTCTTTGCCCTCCTCTGTGTGATTTTTCTTTTGCTGTAGGCAGGAATGGAGGAGGCCTAGCAACATCTCTCTTCCTTCTTTGGTGAGAGAAAGGGTGACAGAAAAAATCCGTCTGCCATCCACTGCCAGCTGCAGGCTTTGAACGAGCCTTTTAGACCGCAGAGACAGCGAGAGGGCCTTCCCTGTTCGTGGCCTTCCTAGTAAGGAGGGGTGGGGTGTATTTTAAAATACGTATGTTTTCCCCCGTTCCATTTCTCAGTGCCGCAGTATTGCACAAACACGCAAGCAGTCGGTGTTGCTGGTGTGTCATCAGCAATATGGGGAAAGGCAGGAGCTTTAAGTCACTGGGGGAATGCAGCTGTACGTACACTCAGCATTTTGAGACTGTTACTAGGGTGAATATATCCAGGAAGCAGATGCCTGCCTTGGCTCATATGCAATGCAGAATTGATAAGAACTGCTTTTAACACTGTTCCCCCCTCATGGGCACCCCTAGTAAAGCTTCCTGTTCTGCAGAATATATGGAGGTCCTCTGCCATTACTTAGGATGTTCTGGAGAGGAGAGGGGGTGGGGAAAGGGAGGAGCATCTGTTTTAAAATCCCACTTCTAAGGAGCAAAGGGATTTTTGTAGAGAGCAGAGTCCTCATTTTAACACAGCTTTTTATTAGAAGAGAAAATTTAATTTGATTTTTTGCTGCATAATCCATTAATAACTTGGGTCATTGTGAAGGTGGAACATGTTTATGCCTTGTTTTGGCAGAGTGTAAATATTTAGCAGTGGCAGAAGAAGGGCCAGGATGCCTCTTGGGGAGGTGGTCTTGTTGCTTTGGTGCAGTTAGGCAGCACCTAAGACATGCTAATTAAATCAGCAACAGTGTTCAATACTTAAGAAAAAGAAGAGGAGTTAGATGTTTGAATTATTTCTGTGTCGTTCCCCTCCCCTCCCTTTTACTTTAGCTCATGTCTCTTACTACTTAGGAAAGCAGCATTATTGTCCTAAATTCCCTCTGGAAGCAAAGAGAATAATCAATTAATAAGAAAGAGAAAAACCCTTCCTGCATTGCTTTTTCCTGATTGTGTCAGTCCGGATCATCCTATGCTCACAGCAGATAAATGCGCAACTTGTGTGTACTTTATGTTGCTGCAGTATATCTCTGTGTCCTTTTATCTCTCTTTTTTGTTTTTTTTTTTGTTTTGTTTTGTTTTTGTTTTAGGTTAGCATTCTGTCACTGATGCTGTCAGTGAGATGAAAGGCAAAAAACAGCTGAGTAATTCACATTACTGGATTTTTCTTCCTAAGAAGGAACAACAGATATCTGTTCAGTGACATTTTCTCTTATAAAATGTTTCAGTTTTTCTTCTTTTGAGAGTAGAGGAATAAATGTTTTTCTCTGTATTCATTGGACAATTCTACAAGAGTTCCTAGAAAATTACTTTCTGAAACAATTAGGGAATGAAAATAAACCAGCACCCAGTCAGAGAACTTACACAGACACAGTTATGGTAGAAATGCCGTGGGTTTTTTTGATGGCATATATAACCACAAGGGACTGTATTTCAGGGGTAATTATAACATTCTTAAGTATGATGGTATATAAACACAGTACATGTGCCATGGACAAAAAATTACATCAGGAATGCTCAAAGCATAAATCAACATTTCTTTTTGCTTCTACTTCAGAGCATGTTCATCATTACGATAGTGTCGAACAACATAAACGGAATAATAAGAAATGCTAGGTGCTATTTTTTGCTTGTAGTGTGGACAGAGAAGCTTGGGCCAGTCTTGCCTCCTGGTGTAAGATTTTACTGTCTTGAACCATCCTGAGCCATTTCACTGCCCGCCATGGGTCTTCAGGTGGCAGCTGCCGCCTCCGCAGCGGTGAGCGTAGGCAGCGCCGTGCCCGCTGCCGGCCCTTCCGCCCCTGGCGAAAGTGCTCTGCAGCAGGGGTGTCCCGGGGTGGCCTTGCTTCGCTGGTCGCTCTAATAGAGGTGCAGTCATTGCCGTTTGGGGAATGAGGGTTGTGGGAGACATGCATTTTAATGTATCGCAGCAAATGAGAGCCCTCTGTTTCTGGAAGGAGTCATTATTTCTTTTTATTGTGTGTGTCGTTTGGCTAGTAGCAACCACGTGGTGCCTGTTATTGTAACTATTTTAATGCCTATGCACAAGAGGGGAAAATTATTGCTGTTCAGTGTCATGCTGTGCTTAAAACCCCAGCTTCAATGTGCCAACGACATATTTTTTGCAGGGCTACTTAAATGCCCTTTTTAAGGAAAATAATACAGAAGGGAGCGAAATATTAAGTGTTAAAAGGTCAAAGAAGGCTGGGGACACTTGAGAGCTCAGGGGAATGATAATGACACGTGTTGTGTTTTCTCTCAAACTCACTGCTTCAAACCTGGTCCGCTTTAGGAGTCATTGAGGTGAATACAGTCCTTTGCCTGAGGTCAGCTGCTGTGTCTGCCGTGTCTTGACACCTGTGTTTCATGAGACCTTATTGGCATTCACGAGACCTAGATAGATAGCATTCAAACTACACATTGTACCACCACAGATACTGACTAGTCTTAATGCTACAATATTTTGA